CAGGAAGACGCTCTAACCAACTGAACCACAGTGGGCCAGGGCGTGTCTGGCTTTTTACACTCCAAGTGTTTGGGAGAGGCAGCCCACATCGCAGGGGGTGGGGCTTCTTCATCTCCAGCACTTACAGCATGGATGCTTTGTGACTCGAATGCGCCACACTGCACTCGGTCCAAGGCTGATGGACACGTTCAGCTCTGCCCTAAGAATGTTTCCCCCACAGGTGTCCCGGGGCACACACATTTCTCCAGGTGGTTCTCAAAGTGTGCTACCCAGGCCACCCGCACAACCTGGGAACTCGTTAAAGAGGCAGGACTGGGTCCTGCCCAAACCTCCGGGCTCACGCCCTGGGGTGGGGCCCAGCAGCCCTCCTGGAGACTGAGGCATGTGGCAGTTCCGGAGCCGCTGCTGCAGATTGTACTCTAGAAGGAGGTTTATGAGTCATGGGATATGCAAAGTTCAGCGCCGGCTCAGTGAGAAGGCTTTGATAGCGAAGGACAGGAAACCCATCTCCGCGTGGCGCCAAAAACTGACGGGATTTATAGCCTCACAGACGGGAACCAGGGGGAAGGGCAGCCCCGGAACCCAGGGGTGCCACCAGGGACTCAGCTGCTGCCCAGTATTGGGCTTCCCTGTCCTTGATGGGTTGGCTTAGGTGATTTCCACGTGGCTGCAGGGAGCCCTGGTCCTCCCCCCCACCCCATCTTCACAAACCAGACACGGAGACCATTTTTGCTTCTTGTGTCTCTTTTTAGGAACAAAGATGCTTTTCTTACAATCTCTTCCCCTCCCCAGCCCACTTCCCCCCCCCGTCTCATTGGCCAGAATCACACACATGCTCTTGTCCCACCCATGCGGGTGGAGACCACCATGCCTCCTCGCCCAATCCTGATGCTCTCAGAGCTGGGCCCGCCTCTCTGGTGCTCATGGAGACTGGGTACCTGGACAAAACCTGGTTCCCTTGGCAGAGAAATGCAAAGGGTGGGCAGTCAAAATACACCTGCTACACCAGGGCAAAGAGTCCCGGAGGCCAGCAGTACGCAAGAGGCAGGTAGAAGGAGATTTTCATGGTTGGATGTGGAAGCCAAACCTAGGAATGATGAATCCTTAGGGTGGTGTTCTTTCTAGTACATTTATTAAGTGTGCCGTGGCGGGAAGCTGGCAGCAGTGGCCACGTCTCATAGGGCGGAAGGCCGACCCATGGGAAGTTTGGGTCGTCTCGTTTCCTGCCTGGTCTGAAGTCAGTTTGCACCGACTGCTCTGCCAGGTGGTTTTACTGGGGAGCAGAGCGCCGACCAGAGCCAGGCCATCCTTGAACACGGGTCCTTGAACATGGGCGCTATCCGGCAAGGGCCTCGCCTGCTGGGAGGGACTTGGACCATGAAATGACACCACAAAAGGCCATGTGGGAGAAGGAGCATAGCTGCTCTAATATTCTAAAAACCATGCCTTTGATTAGATGCAACCTGTGTTCATTTCGAAAAATCTGGGAAAACTATATGTATTTTAACTGAGTCACAGACACACTCTCCCCACTGACGACTTTTGTTTGGTGCCTTCCCTTTGATCACACACACGCTGCCTCACACCTGGCTCTTCCCACTTCACTTGGTGCCGAGTTGCTCCATATCGTTAAAAGTCCTCAGTGGAATCATTTTCAATAGCCGTAGGGCACAGGTGCCGATCGGTTCCTCTCTGCCAAGCGCTGTCCATGTGCACTCCAGGAGGCCTCGCGGGGAGACGGGGCGGGGCGAGCACCCACCTTCCTTACCGGCCCCAGCTGCTGAATTCTGAGGCTAGCTCTGGGGTTCAGCATCCTTTTCACGTCTTCAGTTTGGGAAAATTAAAGCCCATGTTGAGGCCAGAGTGGAAGGAATGTCTCTGATTTTTTTTTTGGTGGGACCCTGTGCATTAATTTGTGCTGCCAAACACAAAGGAAAAGATAAACCTTTGCGGTTATTAGTGGTGCTTGTCAAGACGGGACAGTGAGGGCCCAGCACTTCCTGGGATGACAGTGAGCGGGCCTGCAGCCGTACCTTCAATTTCCTGCCTTCACTGGTCCTCTCTTGGGAGAAAGGGCCACTTTATTTAGTTTTTTTAAATGTCACAATGGCAAAGCTCCAGAATATTTAACTGCCTCCCTGCCCCTACTACTGCTGATTACCGGGTTGCCCAGCTAGTCTCTCTGCCTCTGAGTTCCAGTCACTGAGTTCGGTTCACCTGCAAGCAGGGGCATCATACTCATTGTCACCGAGGCCACCTCAGCCTCGAGTTTGCCTCCAAAGGGCCGAATGTCACTTTAGGACTCTGTAAGTGCAACTACTCCTTAACGGTTAAGCAAAAGCTCGGCACGGCTGCCAGGTAGAAACAAGGTGCCGGGAGGATAAAACAAGGTGGAGGGCTGGATTCTCCAGCCCGAGGGCCTTGAGTTTGCCACCTGTGCCTTAAAGGATGAGCCAGCTTTGCCCACCACAAATCAAGTGGTGAAGTTCGCCCCTCGGGTGTGTCCGCTTTGCAAGAGGAGCGTCTGCCCTCTGGGGCTGAAGCGACGTCCTGAGCATCTGAGCTGCTGCTGCTCACCCCCCGCCCCATCCTTCTTGTGGTCTGTACCATTGCTGTCTTGTAGTCGCCAGACTAGCACCGTATCCAGTGTGGGGACACCTGCACCTTGAGAATCCTCCTCCCCTAGTTTCAGATGGCCCTGTGTTCTCCAACGTGGATGGAAGTCACGCAAAAGCTCCTGGGCCTGCTTTTTGCTTTCCCAGTGTTTTAAGAATTAAATTTTAATGAAAAAGAACGAGCCTCCACCCAGAGGCGTCACCGCCTAGGGCTGCTGCTCCGCGTGTCTGAAAGAGCCACTGCATCCGGCTAAAAGAGGCTGTTTCTCTTGGTAATGAAACAACCCAAACAGACCCTCTGTAATAGACCTGGTCCCTGGGGGGACAGGGGTTCGCCTGGGAAATGATGGCTTGGTGTTTCGGCCTGCAACTTCTGTTTACAAAGGGATGGCAAACTTCATATGTATGGATGAATGAAAAATGCAGCACCCTTATTGGTTACCGCACAGCAGCAACATTGGGGATAAAGAGACAAAGCGAGTGAGATTCACAATGTCTGAGGAGGAAGAGAAATAGGCTTTTTGTTTGCTCTCCCACCCTCCTAGAACGCCATCTCCTTATTGAAATCTGTGTGATTGAGTCTTTGGTTTCTAAAATAAAACAAGTTAGGACTGTAAGCAGGCAAGCCCCAGCTCAGTGCTGTGCCTCCTGCCAGGGGCTTTGGAGCCCGCAGAAGAGCCGGTCACGTCCCAGACCCCCCAGGCGGCTAGGCGGCTATTCTTGTGCGTGCGTATGGGAGGCCCAGCGTCTTGTGAGTGTTCTGCTGGCGAGAGGGGTTGGGATCTGTCTGCTCAGGCCTCTGGGACCCTCTTCCTGCTTCGAAAAGAGGTTTTGTTTGGCTCCCTTTCTGGCCTCTGAGGCACCAGAGGGAGTGATTAATAGGGAACTACCTCGAGGCTTCAATAGAACAGCAGTGTGAGCTGCCGGGGGCAGCCAGGCCTTTGTTCCGCAGAAAACAGCTCTAAAGGGTGATGGGCTGCTGGCTGGGAACTCGGCCCTCATGCCTGCCCCACTCCGTCTTTGCCAGGCCAACCTCCTGACCTGAGCGGGTCTGGGAAGATTCTTCTGGGGGCTGCTGGGCCTGCAAAGCACTTGGGTTGGGACTGCGGCTCAGAGACCCCTGTGTTCTTTTGTGAAATCCCAAAGATAAGAAGAGTAAAGGCGGTGGGGGCAGGGCCGGTGGAGTGTACACTTCCCAGGCTCGGGCGCAGGGAGGGCTGCTCTGTGCAGGCGCCTAAGCGGCTGGGCCTCCCGGCCTCGAGAGGGGGAGAAGAATGCAGGCCTGTGAACAGGGACAAGACACTCGATTCCCTGTCACCCTTGGCTGACTCTCGGCAGGCTGAGCAGCGCTCCCGGGAGCACGGCAGATGTGAGGGCAGGCTTGGGAAGTGAGAGTAAGGTGACAGGCACAGAGCAGTTAAACCGGGAAGGAGATCAACAGCCAGGCGACCCATGTTAGTTCACACCACCACCGCCAGTGATCAAAGACCTACGTCTCTCTGGTTTCAATGGTTTTATTCACCAATGAAGTATCACCCAATGTTCATACCACATACTACACTTAATGACAATAAATTGACTGGGAAAAAGTGGGTTGGGAGGCAACTCAATTGGACAGATTGCAGTTCAATTTCAACAACAGGCTGGCTATGGGTAGAGTATGTTCTATCATTTTCTGCAGAGTGCGCTGCACATGCTTTTGTCAGTCAAGTGTGCAATAAATGTGTATACGTACAAATGCACTCCTCTCCACGCCAGCTGTCACACATGAACCATCAGCCTGATGCTTAGGAAAAGTACTTCCTGGATTTCCTTTATAATTTAACTACTTTAAGAGTTCCGGTTAGCTAGGTGTGACCCCAAATGTCGCTGAAGTGTGTAAACTTCCGAGGACTACTTTCTGCAGAGCAATCGCAGTGGCAGCGCAACTGTGAGCCTTTCTGAGAAAACGGCAGAAAAGGTAGGGTGAAAAGTCTGTTCGGTTTTGAGTGTCTGTAAGCCCTTCGGATCTTTTTAGACTTTAACGGTATAAAGTCAGAAGGAAAAAAAGGCAACAGCCACAATAACTGCCCTAGTCTCCAGCACTTGTGGGCCCAGCAGTGTTTTCCTGTAAAATCTCATACATCTAGATTAGGTGGTAGAATAAAAAACTGGAAACAACACTTCTCGTGTACAACAATCTCCTCCCCCCACTCCACCCTGCCCGGCTTGCCACCCATTCACAAAGTAAATGCGGGCCGAGCTCTTTTCCCCGCCCCGAAGAGCAGGAACTTGGACTCAGGCCAAGAGTCAGCCCGCATCCCCCGCCCAATGGCGAGCTCGGATTCATTCCCGTGCATCACAATCCCGCCCACTGGGCGCGTCTGCGCTGGGACCCTAGCGGGCTGCTGGAGGCCTCTTCCCTGGGGTTCCTACAGCCTCGCCAGCCCCATCCTGTAACCTTGGCGGGTCGCCCCACCCCGTTAGGACCCCGGATCCGGCTGACGCACAGCAGTCACGAGGACGCAATAGACCCACACCCGCATCCCGTTCAGACCGGAAGACACGTTGTGACGCTTTATGCGCAGGCGCGACGTGCAGTGGGGCGCTCCCGGTGCCGTCTGGGGGCGCTGCGGCTGCTAACACTGTGGGGGAGGGGAGGCCGCCGCGCCGGACCACGTGCATACCACGTGGCACCTCGCAGACCGGGACCGAGGTAGGACATCTGGGTCCGCCACGCCGCACAGTCACCAGCCCGCAAAAGTGAGGGGGCAAGGTTCCCTGCCAGGGTCCCCGATGACCCCCGACCTCTGACCCCACTACCTTTAGGGTTACCCCTCACCGGCGACCTCGCGGTGTGTTTATAAACAGAACCCCTGGCGGGGCCAAAAGCCTGGATAGCGGATTAACACCCGCCGGGAGCGGAATGTGCTCTTGCTGCGCATGTGCCCTGTGCTCCGCCGAGCGGCTCCTCTGGCGCCTGCGCGATCGTACGCTTGCAGCAGGGGCAGGTACTGCGGCTGGGAAGGGAAGGGAGAGGAAGGGTGGGCCAGAAGAGCGGGACTCGGTGGCTGCTGGCAGGCTTGGCTCCGCCCCGGCTTGTGCTCCCCGGTGGATGGGCGACCGCGGCAGGCTGGGATCCGCACTGGTGAAGTTGGACGGAGGTTGCGATCCCAAAGATCAAGTACTGAGCTGCTGTCTCGGGCCCACGGTGGGGGCCCGGGGCCCCTCCACCCCTGTCCACGAGAGGCCCTTTAAACACACAGGCCCACCGTGCTCATGATGGGTGGGCAGAATGTGGCACACACAGTGTGTCCTTTCCACCTTACACAGCAGCAGAGTTCATTTTGTGCCGTGTGTGTTTTATCACAGTTTACCACGTGCTGCCACACGCATGGGCCTGGAAGACCTTGTGCCAGTGAAATAATCCAAAAGGAAGGAAAAGCGTTGTCTGCTTCCACTTACACGAGGCACCCGCAGTCTCCTTCCCGTGTTCTAAAGGGCCCCAGCCTCCCTCGGCCCTGCCCCCTTGAACCCCTCTGCCCCGTCAGCTGCCTTTCGGACCTAGAGCGCTCAGGCCTCACAGCCCCTCCTCGCGGTTCCCCCGACAGAAATGCTGTTCCCTCTCCTCTTCTCCTGCTGCTTCCTTCTTGAGTGTTTAGTAAATGTGTATCCAGCTTACTTCCCGCGAGGCTTGTACAGGGAGCAGGAGATATACTGGTGACGAAAACAGGGAAGGCCTCTCCTACGCACTTTAAATTCTGACCGAGGCAGAATCTGTGAACAGAACAGCCAGTGCCAGGTGGTGCGGTGCTGTAAACACGTAGTGACGGGGGCCGGGATCTGTTCTACTAGACCCGGTGATCCTGAAGAACTCACCAAGGGCGTGGCCACTGAGCTGAGACCTACACTATAAGGGGACCACCGTGGGAGCTTGGGCGGAGAGGGGAGGGAATTTCCCAGGACAGAGAGGTAAACGAAGCACAAAGGCCTGAGGTCGGAGCCATTTGAGTGTGTGTGAGGAACAGAAAGAAAGACCAGGTGGCAGGGGCACATGAGTAAAGGAACGGTTTAAGAAATGAGGGCAGAGAGATGGGCACTCCCATCTCTCTGTGGAGCAAGTTACTCTCAAACTTACTAGTGTAAAACAGTATAGTGTGGCTTGTAGTTCGATGGAGAGGTTCATTCAGGGCTCAGCTACGCAGTTTTTGCCTGGGGTCTTGGGTGGTACTCTTAGATGTTGGTGGGGGCTGGATGTCCAAGTTGACTCCCTCACCCGGTGGGTGCTCAGATGGGCTGTCTTTAGGAGTGCCCACCTGTGGCTTCTTCAGCCTGGGGGTTGGACTTTCTGGCTGGCGAGGCTCCTGAGAGAAGCAGGCAGAAACTATATGGTCCTTTAGGGACCAAGGTGTAATTCCAGGGTCCCGGACTTGGAGGCAATTCTCTCATTGTAGCAGCGTGGGAGCGTTGCCATTTCCACACATTCTCACTACCCCTTGTTATTTTCCATTTCTAAAATTGTATCCACTGGAGTGGGCGTGAGGTGGTGGCTGATTGTGGTTTTGATTTGCATTTCCCTGATGACTAATGACTCTGAGCATCTTTTCATGGGCTCATTGGCTGTTTGTATAGCTTCCCTGGAGAAAGAAAAATTTAATAAATATTGTTAAAATTTCAAGTAAAACTTAACATTGATAAGTATTCTAACATAAAGCAAAGTCTCAAGCTTTTATGGTTGGATCACCTGGGGAGTTTAAAACACCCGCTGATCTGCAGGTCACGCCCAATACAGATGAAATCGGGGTCCCTAGAGATCCCCACGTCAGCAAGTGTAAAAAGCCCCGCAGGTAGTTTCAATGTGTGGATGGGCTGGAGGACCATCCTTTAGACCAAGACTATTTTTAACCACCTCCCCAGTGACACCACCGAGGCTGCCTGAATGAGCATCGTGAATAGCAAGTCTCTTCCAGGAGATGCTGGGGCTGTTGCTGCTGGACTACATTGAGAATATCAAAGGTGGACCTGGGTAGCACAGGACCAGCAGCATTGACATCTGGGATTCGCTGGAAATGAAGGCCCCCAGACCCCACCTCGGCCTCCTGGGTGCTTGCCAGCCACTTACTCCGGGGTAAGCGCTGCCTTGGCCCTATGGTCCTGCCAGCTCCCAGCCTGGGAGGTGAGCGGTGGGTGTCACCCCTGCAAACAAAGGAAAGGCGGTGGCCAGCAACTTTCTTAAATGCTCTGACCTTATTCGGATCAAACACCCTGATAACAGGGTGGTTCTGTGTTTTCCAAGTTCTCCGTACCTCTCCGATCCATGGAGAGCAGCCCTGTGTCCTGCAGGTGGCAGTAAAGGATGGGAATTGAACCAGGAGGCGCCAGAAACCAGCCTCTCCCAGACTTCTCGTCCTCCGTCCTGGAATCGGCAGGGCTGGCCTGGGCGTCTCCCCACACTCTTACCATGAGCTCTGGTTTCCCTGGTAAATCAAGAGTGTGGGTCAGCCCAGCTCCCCTCCTTGAGCGACCCTCTGATGGGACAATCGGATGGACAGGTTGTGGGGGTCACATTATCGGGAGAGCATTCAGTCATCTACTCAGCATTTATTAATTGCCGGTGATGTGACAGGCAGCCTGCGAGGTACTGGGGACAGAGACCCAATGCAAAGAGAAGAAATGGCGATTCACCCAAATCCGTGTGCACCAGGACTAAGTGCTACTTGGGAGAGCTTCCTGGTGTCCTGGACAGATCTCTGAAGGGGTGTTGCCCCTCCCCGGGAGGTGGAGCTACAGGGTGAACAAGTAGCTGGGCAGAGCGTGTTGGGCAGGGGGCATGCTGAGTGACTTTAAGATGTTATTAAACAACAGAGTTATTTATGCATGTCCGCGTGAATGACAGACTTCCTTCCAGTTTCCCCTTCTGCCTCATGACAAACCAGACTTAGCCAATCAAAGCTAGAATTTGAGGGACATTGTGTCCCTCAGAAAGTGCCCCAAGCTTTTCCGAAGGGATGGCCCCACACTGCGGGGAAAACCCTGTCCTCAGGGTGCTCAGCCAGAGGCCTCTGGGTGTGTTTCCTGAGCAGGGTGTGGCTCTGGGTGAGGCCCTCGATGGCAAAGAACCACTGATTTTATTGGAAAGACCAGACGCTGCCACAAAAAGAAAGAGAATGGTGCAGTGTGGTTTGCAAGATGACAAATGAGAGCCAGAGGGGAGGGGACACTGTGGGACTTCTGAGGACAGAGGCTGGGGTCCTGGTTAAAAGGGGGTGGTCTGGTGGGGTGGGGCCGGAGCCAGGTCTCCCCAACTTGTCCACCTCTGTACCCAAAGGGGTGAGAGGAGGAGGGAAGGCTTCCAGATCCCATCGGACCGAAATCCAGCCATTGCCATAAATGTGCTCTTATGTTTTGCATTCTACTCCACTGGAGAGGCAGGTTTGGCATAAAACTAATGTTGTGGGCTTCCGGCCAAGATGGAGGCGTAGGTAGACACACTGTGCCTCTTTGCACAACCAAAAGAAGGATAACAAATTTAAAAGCAAAAAATAACCAGAACTGACAGAAAATCGAACTGTATGGAAGTCCAATGACCAAGGAGTTAAAGAAGGAACACTCGCCCAGACCAGCAGGAGGGGCGGAGATGCACTGGTGGGTGGAGAGGACTCATGGCAAGGTGGCGGCTGGCAGACCCGGCGAGGTGGCGGATTGCGGACTGGGTGGTCCCACCTTCACGTGTGGATAAACCAGGAGGAACAACTGGGGAGTGAGACAGACCCCACAACCCAAGGCTCCAGCGCAGGAAAATAAAGCCTTGAACTTCTGATTGAAAACACCTGTGGGGGTTGAGGAAGCAGTGGGAGAAACTCCCAGCCTCACAGAGAGTTCATTGGAGAGACCCACAGGGTCTTAGAATGCACACAAGCCCACCCACCAAGGAATCAGCAGCAGAAGGGCCCACTTTGCTTGTGGGAAGCAGGGGAAGTGACTGAAAACTGGCAGAGAGTGGAGCAAGCTGCACTGTTCCCTCTCGGAGCCCCCCCACCCATACAGCATCACAACCCAGCAACTGGGTTGACCCGCCCAGGCAAACACCTAAGGCTCCGACCCTCACTACATAACAGGTGTGCAGAGACAAACAAACAAAAAAAAAAAGGCCCAAATGAAAGAACAGATCAAAGATCCAGAAAAAATACAACTAAGTGATGAAGAAATAGCCAACCTATCAGATGCACAGTTCAAAATACTGGTAATCAGGATGCTCACAGAATTGGTTGAATTTGGTGGCAATTAGATGAAAAAATGAAGGCTATGCTAAGTGAAATAAAGGAAAATGTACAGGGAACTAATAGTGATGGGAAGGAAACTGGGACTCAAATCAGTAGTGTGGACCAGATAGAAGAAATACACATTTGACCAGAACAGAATGAAGAAACAAGAATTCAAAAAAGTGAGGAGAGGCTTAGCAACCTCCAGGACATCTTTAAACGTTCCAACGTCTGAATCATAGGGATGCCAGAAGGAGAAGAGGAAGAGTAGGAAACTGAAAACTTATTTGGACAAATAATACAGGAGAACTTCCCCGTTCTGGCAAAGGAAATAGACTTCCAGGAAGTCTAGGAAACTCAGAGAATCCCAAAGAAGTTAGACTCAAGGAAGCACACAACAAGGCATATCACAATTACATTACTCAAGATGAAAGAATCTTAAAAGCAGCAAGAAAAAAGGAGACAGTTACCTACAAAGGAATTCCTATCTGACTGTTAGCTGATTTCTCAAAAGACACCTTACAGGCAAGAAGGGGCTGGAAAGAAGTATTCCAAGTCATGAAAGGCAAGGACCTACATCCAAGATTGATCTATCCAGCAAAGCTCTCATTTAGGATGGAAGGACAGATAAAGTGCTTCTCAGATAAGGTCAAGTTAAAGGAGTTCATCATCACCAAGCCCTTATTATATGAAATGTTAAAGGGGCTTATCTAAGAAAAAGAAGATAAAAAATATGAATAGTAAAATGACAACAAGCTCAGTTATTAACCACACCTAAAACAAAAACAAACTAAGCAAACAACTAGAACGAGAGCAGAATCACAGAAATGGAGATCACATGGAGGGTTATCGGCAGGGAGGGGGAGGGAGAAGGCGGGGAGAGGGGGGAAAAGTACAGAGAATAAGTATCCTGGATGGTAGGTAGAAAATAGACAGGGGGAGGGTAAGAATAGTATAGGAAATGGAGAAGCCAAAGAACTTATATGTACAACACATGGACATGAACTAAAGGGGGGAATGTGGGTGGGGGGTGCAGGGTGGAGGGTAGTGGACAGGGGGAAAATGGGACAAGTGTAATAGCGTAATCACTAACACATATTAAAAAAACTAGTGTTGGGAATTGCTAGCTAAGTTTTTGGAAGTTTCCCTCTCGGCTCTTCAACACAGAGGCGGCATTAGGAGGGGCAGGCATTTCAGGCACGTCACTGACCACATGCCTCGGCTGGACAAGCCGACTGGGCAGGGACGCCTTCCCCGGGGGCACCGGGGCCCGCCTGCCTGGGTGCGAGCCCTGGCACGGCCTTCCTAGGCAGCCTGGGCGGGGGGTCCATCTCCTGTTTGTGCCTGAGCTCTCTGAACGGGGGTCACAGGCCCCTGTGATGTGACTCGCTGGAATGGGAGGGCAGGGTGAGAAGGTGGCCGCCTGCAAGCCAGGCAGGGAGCTCACAGCGGGGACAGGCTCTGGGGACGCGCGGGGGGAGGCCCAGCCTCCAGCCTCCAGCCTCCAGCACTGGGGGGGAATGAAATTCATTGTCTTGACCTCCCCAGCTGGGGTCCTCGGGCATAGCACTCGGAGCAGACTGACCAGCATGGCATGCAGACAGAGCGTAGCTGCTGGCAGGGGCAGGGGCCGTCAGCCACTGGGTGCCTGGCGTGTCCAGTTCTGAGGGTTGTGTGTGGCGGTTTTGGTTTTTTGTTTTGTTTTATCTGAGAGGCATTTCCTTGTCCCCAGGTCCCTCTCTCCCTTTGTAGTCACAGGTTCTCTGGCTCATCCGCTCACTTTATTTTTAAAAAAATATGTAATTTATTTACATTTAGAGAGAGGGGAAGGGAGGGAGAAAAAGAGGAAGAGAAACATCAACGTGCGAGAGAAATATGGATCCGTTGCCTCTCACATGCCCTCAACTGGGGATCTGGCCTGCAACCCGGGCATGCGCCCTAACTGGAATCAAACTGGTATCAAACTGGTGACCTTTTGGTCCACGGGCCGGTGCTCAACCCACTGAGCCACACCAGCCAAAGCTCGGTTGTAAGGTGAGGAGTTTGCCGAGACGGTGGGCTGCTCGGTGGATCTGTGAGGAGGGCACTTGCAGACTCCAAGGGTCTCAGAGCTGGAAAGGGCCCGAGAGGATAGGGCTGTGCCCTGCCACTCGGGGCTGGACGCTGGCCTCCATGTTCCCAGAGGTCGGTCACCCCGAGGCTGCTCGACCTGCACAGTGAGGGACTTCCCGCTGCAGTGGGTCTGCCGGTCCCGTGTCTGGGGGCGTTGGATTGCTTCCCTTGTCCTTTGTCCTGAGCCAGTATCTGTTTCCTTGGCTTCAAAAAGTTAACACACGGGACAGGGCCCGAGGGGAGCCGCAAGGTCTCAAGACCTTTCTCTGGCTCAACAGCAACCCCATTTATCGACACTTTGCATTTGTTCCTCGGACTGTCTCGCCCGACGGCCCTCAGCCCAGGTTTGCCTGTCATGCCCATAGGGACATCACGAGGACCTCTGCCATGTGTTGGGCTGACGCCTCGGTCTTCTAATCCCAAGAAGGGCCCTGAGCCTCCTTCGGTGCAAATGGTCTCCCAGGGACCATCCACACTGGCCGCCTTCTCCCAGGGCTCACTCGGTTTTAGATCTTTGCCCAGGCGGACATCAGGTTCTGCAGCTTCTAGAACCGGCCCTTTCTTGCTTTTTTTTGCAAAGCGGGACATCTGTTCACCTCTTCTCTCTTGGCAGCTTCCCACTCCAGGCTCTCTGAGGACGGGACTGTGCCTGTCTGTCATAGTCATTGTCCTGCTCGCTGCTGTGGCCCCAGAGCCTGGCATCAAGGAGATGCCGGGTGACTGCATTATCTGAGCTGAATGGACTCTGGCCCCGCAGTTTCTATCACTGGTTCTGTTGTATCTGGGACCCTCTGCTTCCCCAAATCCCCACCTGTCTCCTGCTTTCTTTATTCTTAAATTATAATAGCATGTTTTTTGTAACTATAAAAGTAACATGTGCTCGTTAAGGATCCTAATAATAACCAAACATGAATTATCCATAATTAGGTGCTTGGCATTTTCTTCCCAAGTTTGTGTTCATTATTATTGATTTTAGAGAGAGAGAGAGAGAGAGGAGGAGGTGGGGGATAAGAGAGAGAGAGAGAGAGATTTGTTGTTCCACTTATTCTTGCATTCATTGGTTGATTCTTGTATGTGCCTGACGGGATCAAACCTACATCCTTGTCGTATCGAGATGATGTTCTAGCCCATTGAGCTACCTGGCGGGGGCTCTTGCCAAGTCTCTGACTCGGCTTTCCCACCACCTGCAGGGCCTCTCTGTCGGGATGTCCCTAGAACCCCCGCAGCCCCACCTGACCCCAGCCACCCCCATCACCTGCCCCTTCACACTGCTCCCGAGTCCCCGATGAGTGCATGGCACCTCCATTCGTCAGGTCACTCCAGACAGCAGTCCTGTGTACCCTCCCTTTGGACCCCAACCTCCCGTGAGTCACCAAGGTGCGCCAAGCCCCACTTCCTGGTGCGTTTCCCGTCTTCTCCTGGCTCCCCCGGACCCTATCGTTGCTTGTCTGAGTTACGTTGCTTGTCTGAGTTACGTTGCTTGTCTGAGTTACGTTGCTTGTCTGAGTTACGTTGCTTGTCTGAGTTACGGCAACAGCCTTCTGCTGGCCTCCTGGCCTTTAACCTCTCCCGTCAGGGCGATCTCATTTCCACTGCTCCCAAGACAACGCCACATTAGCCCCGCTCAGATGCCTCAGTGACACTCCGTTGTCCTGAGACACACTCAGCGTGACACTCAGAGACCCACATTCCTTGGGTCCAAATCTGTCTTCTTTCTTTTTCTTGTTTTAATCCTCACTCCAGGACATGCTTATTGATTTCAGAGAGCGGGGAAGGGAGGGAGAGAAACAGCCTGAGAGAGGGACATTGCTGGGTTGCCTTTTGTTCACACCCCGACTGGGGATTGACCCTGCAACCCAGGCACGTGCCCTGACTGGGGCTCGAACCTGTGACCTTCCTGCTTGTGGGACAACACCCCACCAACTGGGCCATATCAGCCAGGGCAAATCTTAGCTTTTCTCCTCCTCTTCTACTCAGATGTCACCTCCTCCAGAAAGCCTTCTCTGATCTGGAGGGTCAGAAACTCCTTTCTCTGTTCTCCCTCAATGCTTTGGTGGGGCAACTTTAACAGTTTTATCGGTCATTTCATAGTCCATCACATATGTATCATATGCTCTCCTCTAGATTGGGCACTCCCCCACGCCAGGGACTGCTTCATTCACATTAGTGGCTGTGATACAGAGAGCTCTGACTCGATCACTCTGGAGTGGGGAGGGGCGCTAGGAGGAGGTCGCCAAGGCAACCGTAAGCAGTCTAGGATGGGATTGGCTGGGAGCTGAACGCCTCCAGAGCGCATGGAATTATGGGTGAGACGAGACGAAATAAAAGAAGGGCTCTGTAGTTCTCTCAGGCTCGTCTCTTCCTCTAGGACTCCCGGAAGGCCGTGCTGCAGGGACAGGATTTTGGGTGGAAGGTACTCCGGGCATGGCCTAGGGCTGGGTGGGGTTGTTCTTCTCTGGGGGTTCTAGGGGGGCGTGTTGGGAGGCAGCTGCCTGCCATTCTTGCAAAGCTGTGTAGCTTTTGTACAGAAATACGATAATAAGAAACTAACAGGGAAATGCTAGGAGAGCCCAGGTGTTAGAGTTTAGCCTTGATTGATAGGCTTAAGTGACTAATGCACGTGGAAAGCTGTTATTGCAAAACTGTGAAGCTTTTGAATAAAGGCTCCTTTCCTTTACCGTCACACCTCCGCTTCTGGAATTTTGCCTTGAGGGCGGCGCGAAGGGTGGGGGGACCCCCACTGCTGTTCCGTAACAGCTGGCCTCTGTCTCACTGGTTAGTGTTCAGGTGGTGCTGGCTCTTTGAGATTTTTGTAAATAAATAACCTAGTTTTAAAACACTTATTTTGAACTAGTTGTAGAGTCACAAGAATTTTCAAAAAAATATACCTAAGGAGGTCCCGTATACCCTACATCCAGTTTCCCCCAGTGGGGGAATCTTGCATTATCAGAGTATAAAATATCATCACTGGGAAATCGATGTTTACGCAATCTGTAGACCTTCTTCAGGCTTTACCGGTCATTCCGTGTGTGTGTGATTTTATGTAAGTTTATTTGTGTGGAGCTGGGTAGCATAGGAGGTGGGACACAGGACTGATCTGTCTGCATGGATGACGATCCATCTCTTGCTGCTCCTTCATATCCCTCCGCCAATTCCTAACTCCTGGAAACTGTAACCTGTTTTCCATCCCCATAACTTGTCACTTAAAGAATGTTATGTAGCCCTGGCTGGTATGGCTCAGTGGACAGAGCACTGGCCTGCAAAGCAAAGGGTCACCAGTTCACTTCCCAGTCAGGGCACATGCCTGGGTTTCGGGCCAGGTCCCCAGTAGGGGGCGTGCGAGAGGCAACCACACATTGATGTTTCCCTCTTTCTCCCTTCCCCTTGCTCTAAAGAATAAATAAAATCTTTTTTAAATAAAGAAAATGTTATATAAACAAAACCATATAGCTGTAATATTTTTAAAAAATTTTTTATTGATTATGCTGTTACAGTTGTTCTATTCCCCCCTTCATTCCCCTCCACCCTATCCCCCTGTCTTCACCATTACCCCCCCTTTAGTTTATGACCATGTGTCTCAAGTCCTGTAGATTCTATATTTCCCATGCTATTCTTGCCCCCCCATCTATTTTCTATCTACTGTCTATGCTACTTATTTTCTGTACCTTCTCCCCCCTTCTCCTCCTCCCACTCCCCTGTTGCTAACCCTCCTTGAGATCTTCATTTCTATGTTTCCACTCCTGATCTAGCTGTCCGTTTAGTTTGCTTTTGTTTTAGGTGTGGTTGTTGATAACTGTGAGTTTGCTGTCCTTTCACTGTTCATATTTTTTATCTTCTTTTTCTTAGGTAAGTCTCTTTAACATTTCATATAGTAAGGGCTTGGTGATGATGAACTCCTTGAATTTGACCTTATCTGAGAAGCACTTTATCTGTCCTTCCATTCTAAATGAAAACTTTGCTGGATAGAGCAATCTTGGTTGTAGGTCTTTGGTTTTCATGACTTGAAATACTTCTTTCCAGCCCCTTCTTGCCTGTAATGTCTCTTTTGAGAAATCAGGTGACAGTCTGATGGGCACTCCTTTGTAGGTGACTGTCCTCTTATCTCTTGCTGCTTCTAGGATTCTCTCCTTCATTTTAATCTCGGCTAATGTAATTATGATGTGTCTTGGTGTGTTCCTTCTTGGGTCCAACTTCTTTGGGACTCTCTGAGCTTCCTGGATTTCCTGGAAGTCTATTTCCTTTGCCAGATTGGGGAAATTCTCCTTTATTATTTGTTCAAATAAGTTTTCCACTGGTGGCTATGCCTTTCCCCCTTCTGGTACCCCTATAATTCGGATGTTGGAGCGTTTAAAGATGTCCTGGAGGTTCCTAAGCCTCTCCTCATTTTTTTGAATTCTTGTTTCTTCATCCTTTTCTGTTTGGTCATTTTTTTCCTCTTTCTGGTCCATTCCATTGATTTGAGTCCCAGTTTCCTTTTCATTGCTATTGGTGTCCTGTGCAATTCCATTCATTTCAATTAGTTTCGCCTTCATATATTTGTCTAATTTGTGGCTATAATCAACCAGTTCTGTGAGGATCCTGATCACCAGTGTTTCAAACTGTGCGTCTGAGAGTTTTGGTATTTCTTCATCGCTTAGAATTATAGGCTCTGGGGCTTTGAGATCTTCTTGAGCCATTTTTGGTCTGTTCTGGCCCTTTAAGTGTGAGGAGCGGCGCCTTGGACTCCCAGGACGCTGGGTTGTGACGCTGTATGTGGGGGCGTGGTCAGAGCGGGGAAATGGCGGCCCCCTCTGCTGTTTGTGCCGCTGGGTGAGGAGCAGAGGCTTAGGTGGTTCACCAGGGCAGGGCCACTCAGAGTCGCTGGGTTATGACGCTGTACGTGGAGGCGGGGTCAGAGCAGGGAAATGGCGGCGCCTTCCCTGCCGCTTGCTGTGGGGACCCGCTGGGTTCCGGTCCAATCTTCCACTCCCTCGCCTGTCCACCTGCGCACAAATGCGAGACCTCAGTCAGCCCGCAGCCCTGCTCCTTTGCTGTTTCCCCTGCGGTCGCTCGCTTGGTCGCTCGCTTGGTCGCTCACTAGGTCCAACCCCGCGCCTGGATTTCCTGGGCCTGGATTCCACGTGCCTGAGTCCGTCCCCGCTTCACCAGCCGCTGGTTTCGCCCCTTACCGGTCAGGCTGAAGAATTTGTTGTTATCAGACTTCCGAAAAGTTCAATTTTTTGTGTTCTGGCTGTGTTTTCTGTTGCTAATATTTAGTTGTCTCTAAATTTGGTTGTGTGAGGCGGCAGGGCTTATCCACCTATGCCTCCATCTTGGCGGAAGTCCCCTGTAATATTTTTTAAAAGTATGTTTATTTATTTTTAGAGTTGGGGAAGAGAGGGAAACATGGATGTGTGAGAGAAACATCCATGGGCTGCCTCTTGCACACGCCCAACCAGCAACCTAACCTGCAACCCAGTCAGGTGCCCTGACTGGGAATCGAACCAGTGACCTTTCGCTTTGCAGGGCGATGCCCCATCCACGGAGCCACACCTGTCAGGGCAGGATGTAATCTTTCGAGATTGGCTTACCCCGTCCCCTACTCCACCCAATTCCCTTGAGATTCGTAAAGGTATGATGTGCATCAGTATTTTCTTTTTTATTGCCCAGCAGCATTCGCGGTTGGATGTAGCGGTTCCCAAGAAGGGCGCTGTGCTGTCTCCAGTGTATGGCCGTGGTGAATAAAGCCACCGTGATGAGCCCCGGACAGGCTTTTGTGTGCGGGTAAGTTTTTATTCCTGGGCGAGTGCCCAAGAGTGTAAATCCTGGGTGGTATGACAAGGGCGCGTTTAGTTCGTAAGGAACTGTCAAGCAGTCTTCCAGACTGGCTGCAGCATTTCGCATTCCCAGCAGTGTTGGGGGAGTGATCCGGCTTCTCCACGTCCTCACTAGGGCTGGGTGTTGTCAATCTTTTGTACTGTAGCCACGCTGACAGGTGTGCGGCGACACCTCACCCTCGTATCCCCTGTGGTGTCCCCTGCATTTGCGTTTCTCCAGAGGCTAACCATGTTCCCCCTTTCATATGTTAATTTGCCACCTGTATCCCTATGTTTTCAGTGAGATGTCTCTTTATTTCCTTTGCCCATTTTCTAATTAGATTGTTTTTTATTGTTTTAAACGATTTTATTTATTTATTTTTAGACAGAGGGGAAAGGGGGGAGAAAGAGGGAGAGAAACATCTATCGGTTGCCTCTCACACGCCCCCGCCTGGGTTGCCCAGGCACGTGCCCTGAGTGGGAGTTGAACCAGAGACCTTTTGATTTGCAGGCTGGCACTCAGTCCACTGAGCCACACCAGCCAGGGATGTTCATTTCATACAAATGGAACCCTACAGTATGTGTCCTTGCTGTTTGGCCTCTTTCACTTAGCATAATATTTTCACCTTCAGCCGCTTTCTAGAATGCATCAGCCCTTCCTTTGGTGGAGGAAGCTATTCCGGTGCACGAATACAGCCCATTTTGCTTGCTCACTCATCACTTGACAGGCACCTGGCTTGTCTCCACCTTGTGGTTGTTGTGAACAGTGCTGCTGTGAACACCTGTGTACCAGTTTTTTTTTTTTTTTTGGCCTGTTTTTCATCCTTTGTGTGCATAGGAATGGGCATGGCTGGGTCATATGCTCGTTCTGCCTGGAGGTGTCTGCAACCTGGATATTGTCGACCGAACGTGGCTGTGTTGGCACCCTGATCCGGGATGTCCAGCCTCCAGGGCTGTGAGAAATACATCTCTGTTTCTTATAAGCCGCGCGGTTTATGGTGCTTTGTTATAGCAGCCTGAATGAAGACAGTGTTGCCTGTTCTTGAACTTTATCTAAATGGAATCACCCCATGCACACACTTTCACACCTGGCTTCTTAGCTCAGCAGAGTACCTGTGAAATGTTGAAGCCGTGGCTGGTGCCTTCGCCCTGTCATGCCGAGTTCCACCACTAGGGTGCGCCACCCGCTGCTCACCCCTCCCACTGGGGATGGGCATTGGGTCGCGGCCAGCTCTCCCCAGAGGTAAGCAAAGCTGCAACGATGTTCTGACCTGCCCGGCCCAGGGTGGCTTCCTATCCTTGTCCCTCTTGGAAGGAGTGGATTTTCGGGGGTCCATGTGAATTTGGCTGTAGCAGCACCACCGCATGTCTTTCTAAAGGACTCGTGCCAGGCGGTGCTCCCATGCAAGGAGAGGGTTGGTGTAGCCTGGCCTGGAACCACACTGTTGTTTTTCTTTGCATCATGCCTCGAAGCACGTTTCCATAGGCTTGTTCCCCATTTAATATTATTACCCACGAATTACACTATCACCCTGAGAGGTGGCATTCTTGTGTCCGTTAGACAGGTGGGACTTTCAGAGGACAGAGGGGCCCAGGTGCCCAGGGGAGGGTGAGCTGCGGTGAGTGGCGGATCCGGGTCTGCTCCTGTTACAGACTGAGAGCTGTGACCCGTGGTCCTGGAGAGAAGCCTGGGCGCTGGGGGAGGACCCGCTGGTCTCCCCAGCGCCTGGAGCGGCCTCAGCCGCAGGAACTCATATTAGCACTTCAAGCGCGACCGCACAGGGGTGACAAAGGCATTTTGGGAAAGGCTGTGTCCTTGGTGGCATGCTGCTGATCTTAGCCACCACCGGTGATTGTGTGGGAAAGTATGTGCTGAGTCCCAGGCCGGGCCGGAGGACTGGCTGGCGGGAACAGGCCTGTGTATCCAAAGAAAACATTATAACTTGAGTAATGGCAAATCCTGGAAGCGATTACCGCCGCTTGCAAGCTTGTTGCCAGCCACTTGCTGGGTCGTCAGAAACCTGATCCGCAGGCATGTATGTGGGAGGCGGGGAGGGCCCTGCCACGTCCAGTGTCAGGTTTCGAAATCTCCAAGATGCTAGCATCCATTTTCCCTCTGGTTTAGGTCAGAGTCCCCAGAAGCAAACCCTGAGAGGAAAATCTGTGAGCCAGTCATTTATGAAAGTGCATCTGCCAAGGAGACCAGGGAGCCAGGTTGGGGTGGGTGACTTTTTTTTTTTTTTTGCTTTTTTTTTGTGTGTGTAAGTGCCCTGGAGCACTTGTCCAGACTCAGGTGAGAAAGCTGGGCTTCCATATTCTCGCAGCCGCTGGGCACTGGCCTAGGGCTCATGTGGGGACCCACACCCCAGGCCCCTCTCTGTTTCAGCCCCCATAGGGAAAGGAGTGCTACAGGTGCGGGCCGCGGGAAGCAGATAATGCCGGAGTCGAGGCAGCCGGAGGAAGCGTGGGACCTGGGAGGAGCTCTTGTGTGATTATATGACTCACAGCTGTCCCTCTGGGACATGGGAGATGGTGGCTTACACAATATTTTTCAATGAATGATCACCGTATGTGTAAAAATATTGCACACACCCGCACTTGCCCAGCTAGCCAAGGGGGTTTGTCAGTATTCCACAGAGATACATTGCGTGTGCCCACATTTCCCTCACACATGAGGGTATGGCAGTATTGTATATGCCCACATTTGCCTGCCAAGAAATTGGGGTTCAGCATTATTTCATAATTTCTTATGAAGGGCTGCGGCCCCCCTGAGGTTTGCTGGAAGTAACCATTGTGGGGGATGGTGGTCCCTTCAAGAAGGGCTATGGCCCCCCCAGGAGTTTGTGGGGGACAACCTACAGGGATCCTCACTCCCTCTCGACCAGAGGTTGAGGCCACTGAAATGCTGACATGGTGGGGGACAAATGTCGGCAGGTCCACTTCCCTTGTTGGGGAGGAGCTGGGCATCTCTGACGGTGGCCAGGGGGACCCATCGTCACGTCTGCCAAACCTCTTGATGAGGGACTGCAGCTGCCAGAACTGGTCTGTAGGAGGGGGATTCGGAGACCCTGCGGGGTGACCCCGGGCAAGCAGGGCTGACATCGCTCCCGGGCTTTGCATGGGCCATATCTCCTGGGCAGAGAGACACAGTTTCTTTCTACAAAATATTGCCTCACACAAATATTTAAGGACAAACATCAGCACACACAATATTTCTCTATGAAATATTGCCATCTGAGATACTTCTGTATAAAATTCACACCCCATACCTGCCTCACAAAGGGACCTTTTGTTCCTGGCTAAATGCAGGGGACAGGTGGTGACAGGCTGTGCTGCTAAACAGAGGCAGTCCGAGTCGCCAGGGCCAGCCAGCCTGCTCCTGGTGGCGAGCCTGCCTCTTGTACGTCCGTTGGTGGCCTGTCTGCCTGGCTAACACCTGGCCGTCTGTCTGTTCTGGTTCGCATGTTTGGAGAGGACACGTGGGTGAACATTTATGTGTGCAATATTGTCCTATGAAGTGTTGCCATACCCAAATAGATGGGGGCAAACATGGGTACATGCAGTATTTCTCTGCGAAATATTGCTGTACCCCTGTAATTGGAGGGACAAACAGGATGCATGCCATATTTCTCTATTAAATATTGTCATACCCCCATGTTTAGGGAGGGCAAACAGGAGCATATGGAAGTATTTCTCTGTGAACATGGGGTACGACAATATTTCATAGATATTACTCACGCCAGTGTTTACCCCTCCAGACTTTGGGGTGCGGCAATATTTCATAGACTTTGACCTGATGGCTTTTCCAGCTGGGGGCGTCTCCGTTTTGAAATTGGCAGGGTGGGGGCAGTGGGTGGCCGCCCATCCTGTGGGAATCACAAATCAGTCTCGCCAAGCTGCCGTGTGCTGATCAATAGTTACACAATGGGCTGGAAACTTGTAGCATTTTCGTTTCCCCCATAACACAGGCCAGCAATGCTTTGGAATCGCAGGTGCCCACCCTGTGGCAGTGGGAGCCAGAACGAGGAGTCCGGGTCGCTGCTTCGGGGCTGCCACACTGTGGACACGCTGGTCCAGGGAAGCTGGTTTTCCTGGGAGACCACGCCCCGCCTGCCAGGCCAGTTGGTCCCGCCAGGAGGGGGCAGTGCACACCCTGGCGGCTTTCTCTCGCTCCTCCTTCGGAGCCCCGCCCTACGCAGAGCGCGCACGGACGCTGCGACGTGACGTTGCCGAGGAGCGTGCACCACGCTTAAGCTCAGTTTTCCCGAAGTGAGCCCTCCTGCGTGACCTCCACCCAGGTGAACGCCACACCGCCGTGGACCCTTGTCACCACCCGCGAGCCCCTAAGGGCAGCGGCCACCCCTCCGACTCCTCAGGTTAGTGTCGTCTGCTGTCCGCGCTTTGTCCAGTAAAGTCACGCAGATGTTTTCCTCTCGTGGGGCTCCGTCTTCTCCCTGGTACTTTACCAGGTTCTTGTACATCGTGGTCGTGGGCACGGTTGGTTCGTTCGCGTTGTTGTCTAGTGGACTGGCCCACTAGACTGGCCCACGTTCGCCGCGTGGACTGGCCCAGGGAGTCACCTCTCAAGGCTACCCACGGCCTGTGTGGGGGTGTTCGAGAGCCAGTTTCTCCGCACATACGTGCTGTGGGGTGTACGCCTCGCGAGGTTGCTGGGTCACGGGTGTGTGTGGGTTTGGCTCGATGACGCGCCGCCAGAGAGTTTCCACGGTGGGAGTTTCCGAGTGACATGCCTCCCACCTGTGAGCTGTTCTTGGGCCTCCGTCACTTCGCCAACACTGGCTATTTGGGACTCTCACTCAGTCCTTTCAGCATCCTTCACCCCCAACCTGCCCCTGGTGCTCACAACATCTCTGTGGGAATAAGGAAAAGGTCACCTGAAGACACTTAACATTGGATGGAAGTTTCCACGACACACTAACTTTGCTGGAGTGTGACACGCTACTGCCC